GGGGGGGGGGGGGGGAAGGGGGAAGGTAAGGTATCACAATTTTTTCTATTTCCTTTTAACCTTTCTACTACTCATATCCCACCCCAACAAATATATGACAAGTTAGTATGTTAAGATGAAGCCAAAAATATTGCTCTGAAGGCAAGTAGGGATCTAAAGATGGAATTTTCTCAAAGTAACTAGAGAGAATATGGAATACCAACTAAAATATCGTACTCAAATTAACTGTACCTGAAGTCTCCTGTGGCTTTGGGGCCAGCCCAGACACCGTGTAGTGAAGTGACAACTCTTTCAGTTCTTGTTACAGCATCATGAATGTTTGACTGAATGCTTCGAAGATGAGGAAGAATCTTTCCACTTAAGAGTTGATCAAGAACCAGCTCTTCCAGGACAGGCATGGCAAAAATCTCATGGAACAAGCATATGTTCCTGATCAAACGAATAGACATGCCAAACCTATAAGCAGCAACTCGTGCTGCATCAGGTACAGCCCTCATAACAAGGGTGTCCCAAGTTGGGACCTGCAAAAGCAGTTCAGAAGATAAAAATGAGCAATCCAGTCTAAACTAAACAAGCATACAAAGATGGGTAGGAGCATTTACCTATAGTACTAACTAAAAAAAGGACATTAAAGAAGTATTAATTCCATTGGAGCCTCTTATCCTTTTTCACATCATAAACCTCTGACTTCACTACCAACAAAATAAAGATGAAGTCCCAATCCTACTCCACTTCACTATTTCTAATCTGTTCACACTTTGCTAGGAAAACTTATTCCCAGTAGTTGTTTCACTTGGATGATTGGAAACCTAAACTTAAAAATAATATCATATTCTGTCTTAAAAATTATTCTCACAATTTGGGCCTCCGGAGATAAGAACACACCTTCAAATTAGCCACAGCATCAGCTAGACGATCACGAAGTACAGCAATCAGATTGCTGAGGGCTGAGCCAGAAAAGGGGCCATATCTCAATACCAATCGCATGGCAGAGACAGCACACACTGTTTCACTGGTGCTAAGCATATCCCAGCAATTAGCTAACTGGTTATGAAGAATGGGTATTGCAAGCTTCTCCACCAACTGAGGAATAAGATTGACATCAGTATCATCAACACTTATTTCGGCTTCACCTTCTGGGGGAATTCCATAACTGAATAGAGAATTGTGCCTGGAATAACACAAAATTTAGTTGGCAAGAGAATTGAATCTCAAGGAATAAGTAATATGAACACATGGAAGATTAAACGAAGCATTTATGTCTAGTTTCCTGTATGATTGGTTGGCCTGGTAAACATTCCTGGCAAATACTTTGTCAAATTCAAACAAATTTATATTGCAAAAAACATCAAGAATTCTATTATCAGTATTGGCAAGTACACATTTCTTTGGCCCTATGTGACTACAGTATAAAGCCACAAAGCTCCTATCCTCAAAAGGAAGGACCAGTCTTGGAAAGGAAAGGGTTGAGGTCATAATCCTTGAAAATAATTGATTAGAACTAGCTGAGTGCACATACCAGTTCATATCCATAAAATCTGTGTTTTCATGCAGTGGATCCCACTTCAGAAGCTCTAGTCTCACATAGGGTGAAAAAATAACAGGTATACTAAGTGACATATACGCATCACGATAGCTTGAGGCATAATCTTTCTTCCATCTGTCAAACTTTTCAACAACCACAGACAGTTGAGAGTATTCCTCGTGTGCATCACCAAAAATCTGCTCGGAAACCTGAAGCAATTGATCACGGTTTGATTGATATGCTGTACTCTCAGAGTCACTTTCGTCGGTGCTAGATTCTCCTTCTATTTTCTGATAAGAGCTATCACATTTTATAGCTGACATTCTTTTAACATCATTTTTCACTCTCCTTCGTTTCCGAGCCTCTGCCCTTCTTGTTGTATCCATCCGTTTCTGCAGATTCTTATCTCTACCAAATTCATCTAGCTCTATAGGTAAGTCTCCTCCTTTCCTCATTGCTGCTGTTGAAGTCTGAGCAGCAGCTGTGGCAGCTTCTATTGTTGCTGCATTGCTCCCACCTCTACTTAGAACTTGTCTTGCAGCACTTACAGCAGCTTCAAGTTCCTTCATTTCATCATCATTATCAGCAGCTCTCCTTTCTAAGATAGCGGCTGCTCGTTCTTCATGAAGTTTCTGCATCTGGTCTTCAAGTTCCTCAATGTAAGGGCCTTTATCCTGTAAGGATTTAAATACCCATAATAGTTAGCACACAGGATCAAGTTCTCCTGGACAACTCAAACAAAAACTTTCTGCAAAAACTCAAAATTAGAGCTTTACAAACTCAGATTTTCAAAATGTCAATAAACAGACCCTAGTTTTTTTTAATTTTCAAAATGTCTTAACGGTTCCCCTAGGTTCTTTGACCCTATAATCCTACCAAAAAGTCTAACTTCAGACAGTTCAAAAGTCCACTACTTTTCACCTAAACATGGTACAATACTGTATTAGTGGCCACGAAAGAGAGACACAGTAATCAGCAAGTTACTAATCACCACAGCTGGCATAAGAAAGTTCAGTCAATTGGAACAACCTACACAAAAGTGAAAAGGAAGTACTAATGAACTAAGCTATGAGTTTCGGTGAATGTTCTTCTGCTTCACTATTGTACAATACTTACGATAAATTATGACTCGTTTCCTATTGTACAAGGCATCGGGTGCCACTCACGGCTTGTTTAGAAAATGGGTCATGACATCATTGACCCAAGACACGTGCTTTATGCCTTGGCACACTTCATAGAAGAGTTGCTTAAGCAAGCCAAAGCACCCAAACTGCACTACAC